ATTCAAAACAATTATTTTAACGGTTTAATTTTAACACGAAACAAATTAGTTAACTTATTTACAATTTAACTTTGGCCAGACATTTCCTCGTGATCACGGTTGCTACAAAGTATCCGAAACGTCGGGCCGTAGATAAAATAAATAAGTAACCTATTATGTCTCGTATATTAAACCGTTCAAAGCGCTTTATTTAAACAACTACTACTCGCAGACTCGGCCAAGTACTTATTATATAATCATGCCGAAATATGACTGTTTCTAATATTAAAACGTAAAACCAATTCCATTGCCTTAACCACCTGTATTCGAATGAGAAAAAAATTAATCATCTGTTTCGAGAAACCGAAGATTTTGTCACCTGGATAAAAAAGCACCCAATGAAAAGAAAAAATAAAGATTTGCTCTGTAGGGCAAATTAGATTTCATTTTTAATATAAGTCGGTAGATGCCAAGTGGCCCAACTGCAATTTTATGACTTGGGTTATTTGTATTTTCATAGTCTAAAAACGTACACAAGTGTTTGTCTACAAGAGTACAGTGACCAAAAATTGTTAACATAATTCTTCCACAAATAATAGTAATAATTCATTTTCGCCTAAGTTAATTGCGCATTTTTATTTTCCTACTTATTTTTCTTGTTATTAGGCCACTCTGCCTCTAGCAGCCTCATGTACATTGCAATTCTCAAAATGTAAATACAGAAGTGATTTGAGTCAAGAGGGCCTAGATTAGAGCAGTTGATATTAGTTCGGCAAACTGAAACACACGTAAGCCTTTATCAAAGTTAGTTGGAACGGTTTCAAACTCTGCACAAACTTCTCACTATGATAAAACATGTGATTCGCGTAATTTTCAACGTTAATTGTATCTCAATCTGAGTGGATAAGAAGTTTGATTCCCATCGGATTCAGCATGTTGCTACTCTATATAAAATTTAGTGTTGCCTACGGGCCGTAATTAAAAAATATTTTAAATAAGTTAAATTAGATTTCAATAACACTTTAACGGTTTAGAAGCTTTATATTAGTTAAACTTATTTTAACTTCCGCCCGACGTTTCGTGTCTCCCCGTGACCACGGCTGCTGCATCCGAAACGTCGGGCTGAAGTTAAAAATCATCTTCAAATAAGTTTAACTAATGTATTGCGTTTTAAACCGTGAAAGTGTTTTATTTAAATGTGTACTACTCGCGTAAACTATAAACAGTATTTAAGGTTAATTAGAATATTTCGCGTTTTTAACAGTTAAAGTGATTTATTTATATAAAGAACCTCTTTTTTAAATTTAGAACCAGGCGTTATTTATCACATAATATAAAATATTTTTTTCTAAAACACACACACACGAAAGAGGCGTTAAAATTAAATCGAGTACAGTATATGGATTTCCAAAAGCCAAAAGCAGCACAGCGCTTTTTGGTTAGATATTACTTGCTTCGGTTATTCCAACTTCCATTAAGTGTAACTCATACTTGCCTTTTCTTATTTGTTATAAAGTCATCATCATGTTAATCTTAAAAACAAAAAATAAATGTAATAAGTAAACAAAATAAGACAGGATCCTATTGAAAATGTAGCACCCAGAAAGACCAATTAGTAATAGATAAAAATAAGCTCTAAATAGTGCCCACTATCAGACCAAATCCGATCCTTCATGTGAACTGGTTTTTGGGATTATAAATATCCCTTTTTTAGCCTTTAAACAATTCTTACTAATGTTTTTAAGTTTAATACTTATTGTAAACGATAAAGTTAGTCAGTTACCAGGCTCTATCGTGAACCGTTAAGTTGGACAGTTGCAATTCTCCCAGGTGATGTATTTCTCGTTCTAGAACTAGAACTAGAAGCCTGTAAGACATGATATTCCTGGTGTTTATTCATAAATTATTGTCTGTAGTTAGCGGCATAGTACGAATGTAAATATAACACTTCTAACGGATTAAAATACGAAATATATTAGTTAACTCATTTTTAATTTAAAATAAATGTATTTATTTAATAAGGCTTACTAACTAGGTACACAAACATGTTTTAACATCGTGCTGCGACTAATAGGCGAGAACAGTGGAAAATGTAGTAAAAACGGGAATAGTTATTCAACTTTAAGGGGTACCGTCGCGTGCGCTGCAAAAGTGGTTCAATTAACCAAAAACTATGATTATTTAAAGGATCTAAAAAATCTTTTATTATAAATCCCAAGAACGTCGGGACGCAGACGAAATCGTGTTCTTTATGAAGCTGAGGAGTTTTTTGCAATAATTTATTAATTAATTGCAAAGAAGCCCAAAAACTATTCCACTGCTAGATATTACCTTAGAAACATCGTACTCTTTCGAACTATCGTCACATAGATGCCGTCTGAGATTAGAATAATTCACACCACTAATGGGTCTTTAGAAGCCCATCCGAGAACAGCCATTCTGGACCCGTGTTTATTGTTTTGTCGAAAAACTTGAACTCTTTCAGCGTTGTCTGTGTGAAAAGTGGGACATTCACGCTTGAGGCAAAAAGACGGATGCCTGAAGCCGGGTCTTTTATTTGCCTGAAAGTGACCTGATTCTTGGAAGCGTGTTTTTTTATTTTCGCGATTATATTCACATTTGGGCTAATACATCCATTGAAGAAATATTTGAATGATCAACAAAATGGACTTTAACTGTATCACCAAGTTATCTTAAAAATTATTATAATCAAATGATTTAAGCTTGATTTATTTGTATGTCCAATCAACAAGCGCGATGTTCAGCCATATCACATCTAAACAAATTGGATATTTGGCAATCCACAGATTAAAACCGAAACGCGTTTAAGCTTCACGTTGTTGTGGAATGTGGAAAATGGGGATTTCAATTATTTTTCCTTTTCAATTGTTTTTTTTTAATTACACTAGCTGTGTCAGCGACTTCGTCCGCGTAGAATCGTTATTTTGGACATATAAATATGTTTTTGCCAACCCGTCTCCACATCTTTATAAATTATCGCTGTTACTTTTGTTGTAGACTTTTTTTGAGATTATTTGAAGAGAAATCGTTCTTTGATACATATTTTTTGGGTATCTTGAACCGTTTTTGCAGCGTACGCCTCGGAAACCCATGATGATGAATAATTTTTCTGTCTCTTTTCGCTTGTATTAGACACAAGGCGATGTTTTGGCCTATAGCCTTCCTCAATAAATGCTCTAACATAATTTTTAAATTTGAACCTGTAGTTCCTGAGGTTGGCGCGTTCAAACAAACAAACAAACTATTCAGCTTTATATATTAGCATAGATTATAAGTATCTGAAATCGAAGCCGCTGTTTATAGTCTAAAGCCTTCCTCGGTCAGTGCTCTAACAATAATAATTTTTCAATTCGAACTAACAAACAAATCTTTAGCTTTACAATATTGGCATAATATGATATAAGTCGCGAACCTAATTAGCACGTTTCTTTCCATTCAACGTGCGTTCGCGTAGAAACCTTTGTCTCTCGTCTTGATTAAAACGTATGCACTAACTGGATTTAATCCATTATGCATGAACGTTGATAAGGCATTAGAGTAATGAAATTTTACTTAATGCTTTTTATGTTAAGGAGGAAAGGTAATATAAAATCGTTAACAATTAAAGCTTCTTTCTGTTCACAGCTTCGATCAATATATGTATTGTTTCTTTTTCTATGATAGAGGACATAACTTCTTGTCAAGATGCGCAATCAACCGTTGGTTTTGGATATTCGGAAAAAAAATAGGTACTGCTAATTTTTAAACAAAGAACCGCTTTAAATAAAACACCTTATCGGTATCAAACGCGATATATATTGGTGAAACGTAGCTGTTAGTCGCCACGTGACCACGGCTGCTGCAAAGCATCTGATACGTCGGGCTGTAGTTAAAATAATTTTCAAATAAGTTTAACTAATATATATCGCGTTTTAAACCGTTAAAGTGATTTATTTATATAAAGAACCTCTTTTTTAAATTTAGAACCAGGCGTTATTTATCACATAATATAAAATGGCACCCAACAAAGCGTCTATAAATATCAAATCCATATACTAAACGATGATATTAAATATTTTCATACCTTTTAGAAGTGTATAAACAGTCTCCGCTCGTGTATTGAATCTTATACGAGAGAAGTTGGCACGTTCAAATATCGGAAATTTTCAAGACATCCAGTGCTTCGGAGAGATTATTGGAAGTTTTCAGTGAATCGATACAATCACGAAGTAACGTGCAGCTTTTGAGATATTAAATAAATACCTGGTATATAAAAAATCGATTATGAATTAAAAAAAATTACACGAGCAGGACTTGACCGGCATCTACAGCGTTCCGTGCTGTTGCTCTAACCAATTGAGCTACCTAGTCCTAAATTTATTTAATTTTCAATTTATATAGCGCCATTTGCAATAACGTGAAAAATATTTAAGTTTCAAACGTAAGAGCGTATATAATCATAAATAATTTTTTATCATTAGTCCGTGTCATCTTTTTTTTCACGAGATGTTTATTTTCCACCAAGTTTTTAATTGAAATAGCGGATTAGGATTTAAAAGACTAGAGAAGTGCTGTGAAGTAGATTAAGCAACGAATAATTCTGTTTACTTGTGAGTAGCTTAGTAGTGTAAAGTTCTTATTTGTTTTAACGGACTAAAGAAGGCGTATAAATGAATATCTAGTAAGAAATAGGTAAATGTTTTTATTTTCTTCTTTCACCTACTTTTATTTACGCGCAGTAAGTGGGTACTCCATCACAGTTGAAAAGAATATTATAAAATTTAAATGCGCAATATTTCCCTATCGTCGTCTTAAGCTTAAACTTAAACGACCATCTTCGTGGCACAGTAGCGTGTGGCTTTATCTAGCATTCTCATACGCGTCACCCTGAGTTCGAATCCCGAGGAAAAATATTGTTACGGTCTTTCAGAGCGCCCATATTCACTGATTTGTAAGAAAAAAAGAATTTCACATCTTTCCCTATACTTATAAGATGAATTAGATCTGATATTCAATGCGACATGCTTTTGTTTCAGTGGCTCGAATGTGTCCCGGAGATGAGAGGGCCGGGGGGTGTCAGCAGTGCCTTGCTGCTGCCCATCGCTCTGCTCTCCTTACCGGCGCACGCGCACAACTTCACAGCTTACAGGGTAATTATATAGCTCCTATAAATATATTCGTAAAAATCTATTTAAATAAAACGCTTTTTAGGGTTTGAAACGCAAACTATATTAGTTAACTTGGCTAGATAACTAACGCCCGGACGCTTCCGATGCCACACTATGAAATATACATTAAAACAGATTATCATAGACATACTTACGTATAAGACGTATTTACGACCTTTTAAACGCTATGGCACACAAACCTATGATTAATCGTAAAAAACTTGGTGAAAATGTAATGTTAAAACAGTTTCGGTAGGTATTCAGGATAGACAAGCAGTGGAACAGACTTATGTGCCCTGCCCGACCGAAACAATCTATTGTTTAGCCCCGATATACATACCCACCTCTCGCGCTTAACGCAATGCTTGTCCAATAGTCTATCGTATTATTTAAATTGACACCGACTGTACTTACTAAGGTCTGAATCAGTAAAACTCAATAGGGATCTTTTAAAGAAAACAACTGTGTCTTGCCGATTCGAAATAAAATTGTAATAAAGCATATTTAATTAAGCTTCAAGTCGCCATAATTGAATAAACTAAAAACCATTTATTTCATTCATTCTTCAGGTATGAATTAACAAGTAAAACATTCTAGCTTTTCTAATTTTTAATAACACTAATAGACAAAGGCGTTCTTTTAACTGGAAAACACGATCTGACGTTGTTGGAACGCAATTATAGTGAATGGAATGAAAAATTACAACTTTTACAAGGAATGAATTGTTATTGGTGAAACAATTTCCAGTGGGTTTTCTTAGAATCTGTGCAAGGAATGTGTTGCAGTGTGTAGACAGTACTGTATTAGGTAACATCTGTACAAAACAAGAATTATTTTCATTATGAAACATTACCCGTATTGTATACTAAAAGGTACATTATAATTGCTTAGTGAAGAAATGACTTTTGTCTCATTATATGCTATTACTGATCTTTTAATAAACTGCCTTTTGTTTTCAACTATTTTCGTTGGGTTTAAAAAAACAAAAAAAAAAGTTTGTTTCGTCTATTTTTATATCTACGAAAAACTTTATTCTTTCGTCAGTATTTATCGACACTGCAACTCTAATATATTCTTTATCAAAATCAATCAAACGTTTAAACACAATGTACCTTATAAAAATTCTTATTCATAATTATACATACTCATACATTACAAATATACTTAGTTATACATAATTATAACGCGAATTTATCAATTTGTATTAGTTAACGTATTAATGTTTTATTTTAACTACGGCCCGACATTTCGACATTGTTTTGCTGCAGCCGTGGTAACGTTGAAACTAAAATATATTTCGGTTTTAAACGCGAAATATAGTAACTTAAACTTGTTGACAAAATATTTTTAACTACGGCCCGACGTTTGGGATGCTTTGCAGCAGCCGTGTTAAAATGTTTTATTTAAATATTATGTCTTACTCGCGTAAACTATAGACAGATATATATTTCAATCTTCCTTATCTATTCCGCCATTTCAAAACACTAATATAGCATAACAGCCCATTATCATTGCTATGTTTATCTGGAGGTCCATAACAAATACATGGCAGGTTCCGAATGAGATGACAGGCGTTGTGAAGGCATAAAGAGGGTCGCGCGGGCATTTTCCACCCGATACTGAGAAACGAAATCTTCTCTGCGTGTTTATTTTTCGTACTATTTTTACACGGATTCATGTTCTTTGATCATGTTATTGTAGAATAAGGAATTCTTGGATATGTTGTAAATATACGATTGTGACAGGTTACATAGTTGTGATAACTGAATTACTCTGTTAGACTATTGTTCTATTGAAAATGTTCGTTCAAACAAACTAACTATAAAGCATAATTAATGCGTAAGTAAATATTATATTTTTAAACTGTCCAAAATCTCTTCAATTTTAAAACAGTATTGGAGTTAAATACTGTCTATAGTTTACGCGAGTAGTACACATTTAAATAAAACAATTTAAGGGTTTAAAACGTGATATATTAGTTAAACTTATTTGAAAATGATTTATAACTTCTGCCCGACGTTTTGTATGGGACGTTTAGTATTGGAGTTATGGAATAATATTTTGAAGAGGGAGAAATCATTTCTTTTATTTTACTAAGAAAAACAATTAAATTAAAACAACTTATATTTTATTATAGTATAGTATACGTATGATTGTTTTCGAATTAGAAAACTTTAAATTTAAACAAAATGTAGCTTCTATATGTTAGAGGACAGACAAACACTTGATGGTAGGTGCAATAAATCTAAACAAGATGCCCTTCTCCATCTATTCCGGCTTTGGATATTCGCTAAAACCGATACACAAAATATTAATTTGTGGTCGGTGGTTATATTCCTTCCACTCATTTAATATCTAGATTTCTGGACGAAATCCAACATATTTTAGAAAAAGTATATATTTACAAATATAGCTTATGTTCTTGAACTGTCCGTCGTATTTGAAAAATATTTCTTGCCATTAACGAAAGCCGAATAGCAGAGAGTAGTTTAATACTATCGGTAGGTTACGCGAGTAATACAAATTTAAATAAAACAACATAACGGTTTAAAACGCGACATATATTGGTAAACATTTGAAAATTATTCTAACCACGGCCTGACGGTTCGGATTATTTGGGGCAGTCGTAGTCACGGGAACACCGACCACGACTGCTTTAACTAATAATGCAAGTTTAACTAATATATATCGCGTTTTAAACCGTTACAGTGTTTTATTTAAAGGTTTTACTTGGACTGGTCATGATCAGTCAACCAGGAGAAAGCATTTAATATGTATACTAGACGATTTATGTAAACGTCATATTAGTTACACACGTACCAGACATACCACTGCGTTCCTGACGTTACTTGAGGAATGTGTGAGATTGTGGTAAGCTGTGTTTGTGTAATAAGAAATACGTAGTGGCTAATACATATAAATTATAACGGCTGTTGCATGTGACGAATAAAATTCATACTAAAACAAATTATTGTCTCTCACCAGCGTGGGGCATTGGGCAGACATATTTTTGCGTCCGTATCACTAATTAAATTTCCTCTTAAATCATACCTTGATTTTATTTACCCCGCTTATCTGTACATGTTTGTCTGGGAAATTTGAATCCAGCGCTTTTCGGACTTAAAACTAGATAATAAAGCTTGTATTATTTTACTCGGCCCTTATGACTACTAATAACTACCCAATTCAACGCAAAAACTACCGGGTTTGTATTCCCGAGAAACGAGAGGCACTAAATGCTAAAAGAGTTAACGGACACGACGTTGTCGGGTAGCTCAATTGGTTAGAGCAGCAACATGGAATGCCGCGTATGCCGGTTCAAGTCCCGCTCGCATCACAAATGTTTTTAAACGAAAGAGATTGTAGTTCAACAAGCATGTTACAACCTGTAGTAAAGTACAAGATTTAACGCTTCAATTAATTTCATATTAACTTTACTTGACTCTACGTAGTAGTTCTTCCACGAAACCGTTCTACGAGATTTGTGCTGAAATATATTCATAAGTCCAAGCTGATTGTAAAGCCTTTATAATCCTAACATTTGCAAGATTAGATTTTAGTTAGTAAAACAAAAGAACTTGCAGAATTTTTCAATTAGTATATTCATTACTCTTCAGTAACAAGTACTTACTTAATAATGGTTAAATTGAAAACATTAATATTTTTCACATGTTATTGCCCATGAAGGCACTATATAATTTGAAAATCGAAAATAAATTGAAAAAATTTTCGACTCGGGCAGGACTTGAACTGGCATCGTCAGCGTTCCGTGCTGTTGCTCTACGAATTGAAAGGACTCGGTAGCTCAATTGGTAGAGCAACAGCACGGAACGCTGACTGACGATGCCGGTTCAAGTCCTGCCCGAGTCGAATTTTTTTTTAATTTATTTTCGATTATTGAATGGATAAATTGTCAACATTTCTTTACATTTTTAAGCGACAAAAAGGAGGTTTCTTTCTTCTATTTATATATTTTTTTTGTTTGTTCGCGCACTTCTTCGTTTAAGTGATTTCCCGTTTCCCCTCGTGGGGCATAGGGCGAACACATTTCTGTGTCCGTTTCACTCTCGGTTTCTAGTCTCCCCGTGACCACCTGCTGTAAAGCATCCGAAACGTCGGGCCGAAGCTAATAATCATTTTCAAATAAGTTTAACTAATACATCGCGTTTTAAACCGTTGAAGTGTTTTTTTTAATGATCGGTTTTATTTACAGGCAAGTAGTTAATCAGACTTCTGTGCCCGGCCCGACCGCAACAATTTACTGTTTCCCCGGGATTCGAACCCAGGACCTCTCGCGTTCATCGCACTCGTCGGCGCACTTATTCGATAATATATCGATTTTGATGATTCTTTTTCTTGTTGGAAAGTAGATAATTAAAGTTGGACACCACAGTTGGTTACCACAGGCACTGGCTTTAAATGTATATTATAAAAATATTAATCAATATATTTTACTTCGTTGTTGTTTGTTATTATTACAATTTACACTTTACATTTAATAAGTATTAAATTTAAAATATAAGATTTTTATCACAACTTGACACATACCATTTTAAATATTTTTAGACATATATTTCACATTTAACAACACAAGTTAGAATTAACCTATTTTATTTAAAAATAATAATGACTTAGCTGAGGGTGTTAGTCAGTTTGTGCTATCGTTTAATTTGAATAAGCAAATGTATTGCTGATTACGAAATAGTCGACAACTATCCCCTGAGTGCACAATTGTCAATTTCAGGTGTAAATGAAACTAACTGAGCAATTATTACCCTCAACAGTGACAGAGGAGGCCATTGTCAGCCACAATTGTGTATTATATTTAGATCATTGGAATAATGCTTCGATAAACTGACGTCAATTACCTTCGTAACTTGATAGTGGTCCATCGATGTTATATCATGGTGCATTTAAAAGCTCTAAGTTGTAAAACGGAGTGTGTATTAATATATATATATATATAGTTAAGTGTTATTGTAGTTTAATTTCAATCAAACTTTAGAGGTTATATGTAGCTAGCAAAATCAAATCAAATCATTTATTCCACACACACATCTATACTAATACAAAAATCTGAAGAGTTTTTTTGAACGCGCTAATCTCGGGACTACTGGTTTGATTTGAAAAAATATTTTAGTGTTGGTTAGAACATTTATTGAGGAAGGCTATAGGCTAAAAACATTGCTCCGTGTCTAATACAAGCGAAGATACAGCGATAAATGTAAAAACCTTGGAATAATCATTTACAATTATGGGTTTCCGAGGCGTACAGTGCACAACGTTTCAGAAGATATTTTTTTCTTTTTGACAAAATTTTGTCTTCACTTGCTTGTTTAACTTTGCATGTTGTTTCTGTAATTGTGATAAAATGTCGACATGCCGTCGTCCTTAATCTATTAATTGCGATACCCAAATATATGTATGTAAGAATCATTTTAAAAGGGCAATTTTAACTCCGAAAATCAGTAATATATAAATAGTAATTAAATAAGAAATGTCAATCGGTACCTTGCTTCTCACACTCAACGACACTGGTTTTATTTATTTCACACCTGTACCCCAGGTACACAAGAACAAAACATACAGATACACAATGCAATTTTAAAACTATAGGTTGGCCTTATCAATTGGCGATCTCTTTCAGGCAGCCCGCAAAAGGTAGTAAGAAAAATTCGATGTACGTAATGAACGTCAAATTTTAATTATTAACGTACTGAGTGGCTTCCTTTTCAGACGCAATTATATTGGTGTATTCATTTAATATTTAATTAAATTTGTATGTTTGTAAAATAAGTTTTAACTGGAAATGTTTATTTGTCATTTGTGTGTTGTTTCTGAATAAACGTATTTCTATTCTATTCTACTCTAATGTGCAAGTGCGAATCTCACTAATTTCTTACTATACAAAATAAATTTAAAACATAATAATAACCCATCAAAATAGAAACTAGAGAAAAAGAAAGTTCAATTCAGGAAGAATAACATAAAAAAGACAGAAAATACTATATATTAAAGGCTTTTGAAAGAAGTCAAGGAAAGAGCTGATCGTACTGAGTCAGGTAGAGAGTTCCAAACTTTTTCAAACTGGCCCGGGAGTGGTAGAAGATGTAAAAAATTGAATATTACTCCTCAATATTATCCGTTACATTCTAAGTATTAATTTAGTCTCTGAGTACTCTTAGAGTACATTACCTCCGAGGCTCACAGGATCAAAACGGTATATTATTGAATTTCGCCTCGATCACAAGACGCGCTCTCCTATGTAAACTGAGTACGTACAAAGTGCAGATTGAAAGTAGTCTATCCAAGATTATATTACAAAGCTACTTAGTTTGTAAGCTCTTGTTTTAGTTAAATAACGTTAGCTTCAGAAATAATTATATGACGGGGAGGTGTGTGGGCGCTCATCACTTTCCATCGTGTATTCGAACGAAATAAGGCTCCCAATACGTTAACGGTTTAAAACGCGAAATATATTAGTTATCTTATTAACATTTGCCGTGGCCTCGTGGTTTAGTTTAGTGTATTATTTAAACCTAGAGAGTTTTTATGACTAAGAAGGACAGAAGAACACCAACATCACTCGATAAAAAGTACTAGGTATAAACACTCCAGCCGTATAGTAAATGTGTGAAACGAACACATTTTTGTGTTCGTTTCACTGATCCGTTTTTTAACAGGCAAGTAGTTGATCAGACTTCTATGCCCTGCCCGACCGAAACAATTTTTTGTTGCCCTGGGATTCGAACCCAGGACCTCTCGCGCTTAACGCAATGCGTTTAACCATTTGGCTACAGAGCCGGTCCATATACTAAATAATAATTAGTAAATGCTAAGCAAGTTGCGCTGTTGACCTATTTTAGCTTCGGAAATCCATGGACCGATACGCGGTTTTACACTTTCATTCTTTTCATCTGGTTATGGAATTTCGGTATTCCTACCACGTATTAATCATCCGTATTTTTAGTTGAAGTATATTTTCTCAGAGAAAAACATTTATTAATTATAATAACATTGTGGAAACCGAACCCACGACGTGTAATTACTAACCATACAATGCTAACATTACACCAATGCGTTTAAAGATAAGCCGACAGCTCATCTGATTTAGATGTCACACAGCTGTGGTATTTCACGTTATTACCAAGTAAGCTTGTCCTCTATGATAAAGATGTATTCTGAACTCTGATTGTTGTAGGAGGAATTGGAATCATCGCTACGCCTCGTACACGCGGTTGCTACGGGCGCTACGGGCGCCCTTTGCGTAACGCACCACTACGGGCGTCTACGAGCGCCGCTGCACGCATCTCGCTGGGACGCTGCGCGCGCGCGGGCTGATCTCGCGGCGAATATATTGCACCAACTCGGATTGGATACCGCTAGTAAGTATTAGAAAGAAAGAAAGAAATTTGTTTAGTACTACAATAAAGCACACAAAACATATTACTAAATATAAAAATAAAACATAATTTAATATTAACAGTTTAAAATAATGTTGTGTGCTGCTACTTGGCAGAATAAGATCTGACTTATTACGAAAAAAAAAAGCTGAGTCGTGTCTCTCCACGTGAAAGTGAAGAAGCATAGAGAAATGTAGATAAAACGGGGAAAATTATAATGAATAAATCTTTGAGGCCTTCTATTGCGTGCGTAGCAGCGCACGGTTTAAGATACCAAAAAGATATCTATGAAAGAATTATTCTTCTGAAATGATTTGCTGCTATGTCTATCTTTTAAGATTAACTCACAAGAAACCTTTATGTGGAAATAAAATTTCGTCAAAATACCTATTTCATTTGGCTAAAGTAAGTTTGCAGGTCAGCTAGTCTTACATTACAATATTCATATTCAATCTACTAACTACAGATGTACTTACGGCGGTGTCACGGGCTCTGGTGATCGGCGCAAGCGCATCCGAGCGTGCGGTAGGAGGTCGGGCGATCGCTTTACGCTCTGATGGTGTTGTCAATAATTCGATCGCGTGGGAGAGATACGGGGCCGAGCCAGTAGCTGGTGTGACTCCACCCTTGGAGAAACCACCTGATCCTGAATTTCCGTGGTGAGTTTATCTAAGTTATACACATATATGTTTAATGGGCTCGTTAGTCTAATGGCTAACAATCGACAGGTCGTGGGTCTGATCCATAACGGGTCCAACATCTTTAAATTTTATCAATTTATAATTTTCTGAAACACATTTCCAGACGAAGACCAAATTCGTCTGGAAATCTGAATATTAAATGGGTGCTACGGATATCAAAATGTCTGAAATCCACATACGAAAAAGCCGTGAATTTAATCACGTTTCGGTTTCAGTCTGTCGATTTCCGAATATCCAAAGCCATAGGTCGGCAGTAGATATTGTCAGATATTATATGGCTGATGAAATAACCTCCCTTCAAGTGAATCTCGTGCTATATCCCGGTCAGAGTGAGTTCGTTCGAGTTCGAAGTTCTCATATGACAATGTGACAATGATCTCCAAAACGACTCAACCGATTTTTATAAATTGTTATATACATATACAGTAGGTCTAAGAATCGGTTATTATCAATTTTTTAAGTGGTAACTTAGTGTATGTTAAATAAATAAATAAAAAAAGAATGTAAATATCATACTTCATACCACTAAGTGATAACCCACTAAGGGATAAGAGGGTTTATTATTTAAAATATATATAGAGATGTCTATATATATTTTTAATTATTTAGCCAAACTTTTATAAACCTAAAAAACATACAAACCTGAATTTTCCCATCTATCACCACCCCCTTGTTGAAGTTTTTTATAGTACCTTAATAATTTTTGATCCCGCTCGATAACTGATCAATTAATTAGCACTTGGTAAGTTATCCTCCTAGGCGTCTACCAGTGTCAACAAATTATTATAAATATTTATTTGCTGTTTCGTTACTCTAAAAGGTCTCATTGTTCAAAGCGCTACATGCCTCCTTCACTCATATATATGCTTACCCTCTAGAAATTCTAAAAACGGTTATATCGCAAAACAACGTTTGCCGGGTCAGCTAGTTACTTTATAAATGCTTTGCAAAGCTTTGCTGTTTAAAAAGTTTTCAGAGAAATAAGGGCAGTATAAAATATGTACATATACAATACGTAAACTTCAGACCTTATTGTATAATAATTGAATTTTAATGAACTTGGGATAAGAACCAGCCGCTAATAACTTTTTAAGAAGTCGGCGAACTTTAATCATACATTCTCCACGCGAAAAGCTGACTTTAACTCAATTGAATTTAACTCTTAAGTTATTACAGCAGGAATATTAGATTTTATATGTTATAGCTGTCCCAGCGACTTCGTCCGCGAGAATCGTTATTTTGGGCATCCAAATCCGTTTTTGTAAACCCCGTCTTGCATCTTTATAAACTTAAGCTGTTACCCACGACGACGGTCGCGTCCCTTCCAGTCGTTCTTACAAGTTAATCTTAGAAGATAGACATATAGCGTCGAGGACCTTTTTTTGGATCATTTAAAGAGTAATCATTCTTTCATACATATTTTTTGGATATCTTCAGAGAAATGGTTCAGCTCGGGAAAAACATAGAGATTAATATTTCCCCCATTTTGTTCACATTTCCCCCTGTGTCTTCGCTCCTATTGGTCACAGCGCAATGTTTATAGCCTATAGCTTTCATCGATAAATGTTCTAGCTAACACAAAAATAATTTTTTCATTTCGAACCACTAGTTTCCGAGATTAGCGCATATCAAACAAACAAACTCTTCAGCTTTACTTTATGTATTAGTATATGATTTAAACAAAATGCGCTGTTATTTGATCTATTTTGCTTTTGGATATTTAAGAATCCAAAAAAAAAAGGATATTTCAAAAACTAAAGATATAGAATACGTATAGCAAATTTCTGCAACGGCAGAAGCATTGATGGCCAAACGTGTAAAAACACAAAACGTAAACGTACGTAAGTCCATCAATGCCAAGTTGCGGCCAAGACTCGCATACCTAGTATGTTTCTGAAATATTGCGCTGAAATTAAAACTAAGGAGTATAACTCAGAACTTTAAAACAAATGACGAATTTGACAAAGAACTAAGACCAATATTTTTTTACCCGTCAAAGTATTTATTTTTTTCAGTGAGCCAGTTCAACATTTAAATTAAATCTTTGATCAGTTACCTCTTTGGTCGAAATATTGCAGAATACTTTTTCAAATTACACAACACCATTTGTTGTTGTTTTTTTTTAACATAGTAATTTATTTGGTTGCTCAACACGACATATGAATTTTCATACAACTATTGCCGGCCGCGGCTCGACCAGTACAGAAAGTTATCTTGAAGAAGGTTTAAGAATTTTTAACTACGGCCCGACGTTTCGGATGCCGCAGACGTGGTCACGAGGAGACTAATAATCCTCAAAAAAGTTTAACTAAAATATATCGCGTTTTAAACCGTTACAGTGATTTATTTAAAAATGCTCATATTTCCAAGCATATTTGATAACATATATTTGTATTTATTTACACAGGTATGTATCTGCACATGAGAGTGAATCGCTCCGGTCGCCAAAATTTATGCCGTCCCCACCCGGAGCGACAATGGAGGGATGGTGGACGTACCCGTACTACAGTTGTTCAGCTAAGAGATGGCTGCTGTCGTACACCGTCCCCGTGACCTCGATACGAGGGTAAGTGGGTTATATTATCATTATAGCCAGACATTTCCCCCTTATTGGGTTGCATTGTAACTGTCGGGCAGGCTAGGACACGTATGCACGACCGACGACCGACCTTCAAACGAAATTTCTACCTTATACACGTTAATTAATATGAATTTTACAAAAACATTTATTAGGATATTGTGATTTTTAATACGATATTTTTACGCAAATATTGCAATGGAGTACTATTTATGTCGGTGTGATTCATAAGTATGTTTACGTGTTATTTGTTTACTGTATCAAAAATGAAACATTTATTTTAACTATAAAGTTCATTTGGATGTTTGAGCAGCCGGGTCACGGGGTGACTGAATAAAAGTTAATTAATAAAATTTATCGTTTTAAACGGTTAAAATGTATTTAATTTATTTACACTACTCGCGTAAGCTACAGTATTTACCAAATGTTAATATTGTACGTATTTTATATTTATACACACTATTAGTAATTAGATCTTTCTCTACCTACACAATGACAAAAGTACAATAACTAGAATTTCTTATATTTCCAATCCAGTAATCTTGGAAACCGCTATATCACTACGCAGATATCACCTACCGCCCGCCTTAAAGATCAAAATTCCCGAGCGTGGGTAACGGAAAATCGTTTCAAACCATCAGATTAGTCAGCGCGAGGGATTTCCATTAAACGATAACGGTGCATTAATCTTCCCTTTCAGGCTTAAGGGCGTAGTTTCGCTCGATATAGATATATCTGGCTTGGAAGTGAATCAGTGTGAGAGCAACGTGGACGAGAACGACAACCAGATATATTCATTCCACGGGACCCACAAGTGCCCAAATGAAACCACTTATGTGAGTATTCTGGGTTTTTTCTCGAAGGCGGTATTCGAGAACTATTTAATCATAATAATAATAAATCTTATTTGGCATTGCAGCGTGGAAAGTTTAACTTTGTTTAAAAATACATTATAAGTCATATCTTAAACTATAACCCTGAAATATTTATATATAAAACAATGTATTTCTCGTTCCAAGTGAATTGTAGAAATCTTACGAGTGCTAATATTTAAACCTACCCTATTTGTCATTCAAACTAGTACAATAGATATAAAACTGCAAAAAAAAAGATATAGTACTTTAAAACATTTATCCAGAATTCGAAGAGTCAACGTCGATGAACGAAACTATTTGAACAAAAGTTAGCGATTCTTTAAGGAGTTTAGTATTGAGTTTTGTTCTTTGTTTCGTTTATACTTACATTTGTTTAAATAAAACGAATTGAACGGTTTCAAACACGAAATATATCAGTTCAATTATTAATTTATTTTTAAGATCCGACGTCAATGCAGCAGCTGTGGTAAGGGGGGAGGTCAGGTAGTTGTTATAAATTAACTATTTAAATAAAACACTTTAACGGTTTAAAACGCGATATCTATTAGTCAAACGTATTTGAAAATAATTTTATCTACGGCCCGACATTTCGGATGCGTTGCAGCAACTATGGTCACGGGGAGACAATGTATCCAAAACGTCGGGCCGTAGTTAAAATAAATTTTAAATAAGGTTAACTGATATATATCGCGCTTTAAACCGTTAAACTGTTTTATTTAAATGTATACTATCGCGTAAAGTACAGAGAGTATTTAATGAGTTAACCAATATATTTCGCGTTTAAAACCGTTAAAACTTTAAAACCATACTTGAACTTCTTAGCGTTTCGTTTTAAATAGGCAGATAACATTAATAATGATTATTTTTTCAGTGCGAATACAAACCGAATCGTGAAATGAGCGCACGCCACTCGGGCTGGGCCCGAGGCTCCTATATCTGCAAATGCAGGCCCGGATATTACTCGATACACCATCCAGAAGGTTTTAATGGCTCTCTAGTTGAAGGTAACTAATTTTGTACTATTTACAACCGCCAACCAAACATTTAAATACGCATAAACAAATTACATACATAGTGTAGGTTTTAATTTTTGGATTTCTGAATATCCAAAGTTAAAATAGGTCGACAGTTCACATTATCTGTTTTTTTCTAACACGAAAAATTTCGATGAAAATGCATTTACCACGTTATATTAATAATATATTAATGTAAGTATTTGTGAGGTCAGAAGTGGAAATAGGTTTTCACATATTCCAGCTAAGTTTTATTTTTATGCGCAATCAGAATCGATAAAGTCGTGATTATCTGCTGCTGTAGCGTTCATTCTAATTTTGTCTTCATCATTACAAACTCAATATTACTTGTTTAATGAAAAAGCCCAGAGTTTTATCTTCCATCAAGGAAACCCTATACTCATCTGTCGTCCTCTATCATAAATTTTCTCTATTTTAAATCTACTTTTTAATGCCAAAAAAGGATTTATAGGGGTTGAAAAAGGGGATGAAATTTTGTATGGAAATTCGTGGTTTTTGAAGTAGAAAATAAGCTTTCTTCTTTGGCTTTTTGGGAGTGGGAGTGGGAGTGGGAGTGAGTGTAGGAATGATAGTGGGAGTTAGAGTAGGAGTGATGTGAGGTGAGAGTATTGCGGCAAAGGAGCACTTACAACATAGATTGGCTGCCTTAAATGCGCCCTTACATACATTAATAAACAGCTTAAATAATTAAAAATTCTACTCCAAGTCACTATACGACGCGAACGAAGTCGCGGGCACAGCTAGTCATAAATATGACTAAGTAGATAAAAATCAGCTGATACTATAACTTGCTGTACATACTTGCATGTTGGCTAATCTTTTCTGTGTATTTTACAGTGTAAATAAAAAGTTAATAAAACATTAACCCCCGATATATTTCGCAGATATTAACTACCGACTCTAAACACTATAATACATCGAACTGTTGAGGCGAGGTCATACTTATTAACATTTCTCGTCCCAATATACGCAGACTCAATGATTATGTGCAAAATAGTAGATAAACTTCTGGTTAAAAAGACACTTTTAACGGTTTAAAACGTTTCGACGTTACGGACGCATTGTAGCAGCGCTGATCACGGAGAAACTGAACATATCAAAGTCAAAACTGCTACGCTAGCGACATCTATTTCGTTGTAGTTGGTATTTGAAGCAATTAAGTATTTCTTTTAAAATTGTGGGCTTATATTTTATACGTTTCAAACCGTTAAACTTGTTTTGTCAACTACAGATAATACTTAACTTCTAGTTTCAAAGCTCTACTTGCATACGACGTTCTTATAAGTCAATTCGAAAAGATTTATTTGTCCAAATTTTCCAGTCGCGTATCAAGAATATGAAGACAACGGCGTGGAAAATTGGAGCGAGCCCTACGAATGCCTGAAATGTCAACCCGGATGCGAAACTTGTCGGGGACCCGAGCCCTGCCTCGCCACATATAACTGGCCTTTTCGGTAAGTTTCCGAGGGTAGAATTAATATTACATTTAAATTAGGGCAGACAGAAGCCGTATGTATAATATGATGTTTAAATTAGTTACGACTAATGAGTTTGTTTCAAAGGACGGTTTTAATATTTCATAAACAACTGTGTCATTCGTTTTATATCTAGTTATTTGGTTCTTTTTTCTCATCTGTAGACAGTGGGACGTGACCCGAGACGGAATTCTTCAGAATTTATCCAAATTGCCGGACGAAGAACTACATTTTTAGAAACACGTTGGATCTGGTGAGGGATCGAATTCATAAGACCAGGTACGTGTGTTTAGAATGAAAGGGGGTTGTCTTAAACCTCACTACGTCTCACCATCGTGGGGGTTATTGCAGTGATTTGTATGTAGTGTATAATTTGTTGTGGTTTGAGATTCGTTTTTTTATTTGTTTAAATCTATTTTACCACTTCCAGGATATCTCTACTAGTGATCTCAGTGAGTTGTGCTTTCATGACGGTGCTGCTGACCATCTATACTCGCCATCACCGTCGGGTCAAAGTGTTTCGTGTCGCCAGCCCAGTCTTCCTCTCTATCACTCTTCTAGGATGCGCCATGATGTATATGGAGGTATTAAATATGCCTTTAATCTTAGTTAAGAATTACGTAGGTATAGATCGTCTCAAAAAGTGGGAGACTCCTAAATGAGACAACGGACACATTTCTATGACCGTTTCATATTATTCAATGTACAACAAAAGTAGTTACCCTGGGATTCGAACACAGGACCCAGGAGTCAGAACATTGAGTAACTAGCTTTTGATATAAATAGGTAGGGATCTTATATTTAATTACACCAAAAAGAAGGGAAGCTAAATGCAATCGTCTACGCAAATTCATTTTGAGGGCATTATTAATATTTAAATATAGAGTAACATGAGTACGTGGTGGTATGTGAAAAAAATAATGTGCACAGGCATTCTGTACCCGCTGTATTAACTTTTGATGTTGAGAGTAGGCGAGGTCCGAACACTGTGTCAGCATAATAAAATTTGGATAAGACCAGGACTCGCAGATATTGACATTGTTTCAAGATACATACCACCCCGGCTAGATATTCAAATTATTTAATGATTATTCAATAAAAAACTTAAACGGTTTAAAACGCAAAATATATTAATAAAAATTATTTTGCTTTGCAGCAGCCGTGATCACGAAATATCCGTTACTATGGCTGCTTAATTTATAAATAAGTTTAACTATAATTGGCGTTTGAAAACGTTTAAATGTGTACTACTCACGTAAACTGCTGACAGTATTTTATTTAATGACACACAAAAGAGGAAATGTTATATAAAATCTTTATAATTGTATTTCTATTTCAGATGGCAGCCATCTTCCCAGTCCTCGACCGATATTCCTGTATCGCAACAAAATGGACACGTCACATGGGGTTTTGTATAACTTACACTGCGCTTCTCATGAAAACTTGGAGGTAATCCACTAACCTTTTTCACGGGCTCATTGGTCAAATGGTAATAATCAACGGATCGTGGGCTCGATTCCCACGGGGTCCAAGATGTTTCTAATATTTCAATTAATAATTTTACGAAACATGTTGGACTTCGTCTGGAAATCTGGATATTAAATGGGTAAAATTCTGTCGTGAACCGTGAAGAATCGCGTTTTGGTTTCAGTCGGAAGATTTCCGAATATCCAAAGCCAAAATAGGTCGACTATGTTTATATGCTATAGGCTGGGGTATACCACCTACTACCAATTGACCCTATGCTTGTCTGTCCTCTATCATTAAAAAAAAACCTATTCATATGTATTTTTTATTTATCATATTGTCTTTGAAATGCAGAGTATCCCTGACATACCGAGTGAAGTCAGCTCATAAACTGAAGCTAACAGACAAACAACTTCTACAATGGATGGCGCCAATTCTGCTCATTATGCTGGTATATCTTGGAACTTGGACGCTCTCTGCACCGCCAGACGCCGAAGTGGTTAGTACTGAGGACTAGTATCTATTTATAAATCGAAAATAAATTGAAAAAATTTTCGACTCGGGCAGGACTTGAACTTTATTAACAATAATAAGAACTGTAAATAGATATATTATAATTTAAAACATATTTATGATTTAAACAAAACGTATAACTAACACTCCTGCTGGATAGAACCAACTAAATAACCAAATATACCTATAAAATAATGTTGTTAAATAACCAAACCTAATTTGTCCATTTTCAATTTTCAGATCACCGACAACCGCGGTTTGAAATTCAAACAATGTACATACAACTGGTGGGACCACAGCTTGGCTATTGGTAATTATATATTCGAATTCACCAACAACTAGTTCCATGCAAAAATATCTCTTTGAATCGCTAATTAAGAATTCTTTTGTATAATTCACGCGAGGTGTAAGGTACACATTTAAATTAACACTCGTTACGGTTTAAAACGCCAAAAATAGTCTGTCCGACTCCTTAGTCACGCTTTTGCAAACTATGAAACGAGAGATATTTCGTTTTAACCCGTTATAAGTGTTTTATTCAAATTGCAAAAGTCAAAACCAGTATAAACTAGTGTCACTTTATAATAACTAGTTAGTAAATAATATTATTATTGCAGGTGAAATTCTCTTCTTGCTCTGGGGCGTGAGAGTATGCTACCGAGTACGCCACGCTGAAAGCCTGTACAACGAGGCACGACTGATCTCAATAGCCATTTACAACATTTTCACCGTTAATTCTCTTATGATCGCATTCCAGTGAGTTGTTCTTTAACTAATCGTCTATTCACCTCAACGAGTTAAAATAATTTTACAATTGCCAAACAATTACGAATATGTTAGTTACCTACCACTGACTTCTTTTTTGTAGGGAAGTGTGGGTAAATAAAAAAACACTATATGTGAATAAATTTTTACGAGCTAATTGGTGCAACAGTAGCACTGTAGAGCTAATAATCGATGGGTTGTGGGTTCGATTCCCACCGGGTCCAACTGTTTTCCAATCAATTTATTATTTAATTTATGGTTGGTGGGAATATCGAAATTCCATCCGGGTCACTAACCACCATCACCAGATGAAAAAACTGTAAAATTTAATCGCGTTTCCGGTTTCGGTCTGTGGATTTCCAAATATCCAAAATGGGCCGATAGCGCATCTTGTTTGGATGTTGTATGGCTGAAGTCTGTCTGTACTCCTTTATTTAAAAAAAAACACGATTAATGTTTTTAAATTAAGATCAAATTCTATCTTTCAGCTTGTTAATCCTACCAAGAGCTGGGCCAGATATAAAGTACCTCCTCGGGTTTATAAGAACACAACTGTCCACATCAACAACCGTCCTCTTGGTGTTTTTACCGAAAGTAAGGATGTATTTCAATTACTTTATCTGACATTTTTAAAACTACCTAAACCTACATAAATCGTGCTTATTCCACCAAAAAATAACCGTTGAGTTATAATGGCATTTCTTAAATTCTTTAGCTCCATTTCCTCTAGTATTTTCGGAAACTGTTTAACATTTTTGTGCTTTTATTTAGGTGTTACGAGTAGTAAGAGGAACAGGTGACACCTGGGATAGCCGGGCCAGAGCTAGAGGAGTACCCGCATCTTCCTCTCTTAACGGAATCGGTCTGGTACCTGATGACCCGCCAGATCTCTTCCAAGAGAATGAACAATTAAAGGTGTTTATTCTGAAATTATCCTCATCAACAATTTAAGAAATTCAACGACGTTATAAGGTTCTTCGCCTCTGTAGCTAAATGGTTAAACGTGTTGGAACGCAATGCTAGGTGGTGTGGTCGAATCTCGGGGAAACGGTAAATTGTTTCGATCGGGCAGGACACAGAAGTCTGTTCAAGTACTTGCCTGTCTCACGAGGGGAAACGGGATTTCACACACATAGACTTATCATATGTAACTAATGATGTAAAAGGCATAAAAAATTCCGTACCTACTGATGAAAGGCCAAATAATATATTCAGAATAATTGATGAATGCAATGTATTTACAGGAGGAAGTGCAGAAACTAGCCGCCCAAATAGAATTCATGAAAATAGTCCAGATGGAGATGCACAACCGCCATCTGCGTCCAAAGCCAGGGGGTTACTTCAGCGCTAATGCCACTACTATGCCACAGAGCCCGATGCACTCAAAGACTATTAACATTTCACAAGTAAGTAATAGAGATGTTTAGATCAGTTTTCCTTCTGAAGATCAGGGTATAAAGAAAAGAGCATCAGTTTGTTCTCCAAATCTTGGAGAACAAACTGGGTTTAAAACGTTCCAGGTTTTAAACCCATCGTTTTCGGATAACAAGCATAACATTCATACAGAAAATTTAATAAAATATTCAACAAAACCTGTGCGATTCCTTAATTAAAAGGCAACTATTATGTTGTATTTTTTCTGTTTGCTACAGGAGTCAGAGTGGTCAGGACCAGTGTGACTGATAGCTCTTGCCGAATGTGACTGGTCTTGGCCAGGACCAGCTGCTCGCCATATCCAAACCACCGTAGACACAAGACCACCTGCTTTTGTATAGAATTATAATATCTAAGTTCATTTGTATTTAACTTTTTGAAACATTTTTTCATTTTAATGTTTGAGCAGGCAGACAGATAGGAGAGCGTACAACTTGATAACATGAAAAAATATACTTACTTAGCTTTAGTTGCTAGGTCGCCAGATTATTTCAGAGAATATAAAAGTAATTTAGCTAAGACAAGTCATTTTAATGTTCTAGTCAATGTTATCTATAATAAAAATATATTATGTGTATAGAAATAGTAAAAAAAGGCTGCATATAAAATTATATTGCTTTTAGAATGTATTAAAGTACGAAATGCTTGCAAAATTCTTTATCGACTTGTTTAGTATGAACTATTTGTTCTCAATAAATGTTGTATGTAGGGAAAGGGAAATGTCCAACAAACGGACTATACTTCAATTACCTAATTTTGAAATAAGTCTACCGTTGTGTACAAAAACATTGAAATATTTTTTTTGTTTGTAAAAATATAATCAATATTGTCGCATGGACAACGTAGGCATTTCCCCTTTTGTAGGTAGGTTGTGTTTAAAAATTACTTAAGACTAGCATATCAAACCACGAACAAATATTATATTTTACTGTTTCTTGGAATATTTCTACTTTCCTAATTACTTTAAAATTTTAATCAATAAAAATTTAGTAGTCAAGTACTAGAACAACATTATAAGATATGATTTGGTCTACAATAAGCAGAATAGTTTCTAATAGAAATCAGTGTTTTCATAGACAATAATTTAAAAGCTTATATCATAAAAATATATATATAAAAACTGTTGTTATTTTTGCTGGATTTTAATGTTGGAATTGTATCATAGTTGACTTGTATGATATATTTATTCTATATGTAAATAATTGTGAAAAGCATAAATTCTAAAGTGTTGTATATAAAATTGTAGTTTTCAATTCTATTGCATTGTAATGAAGTCTGGAAAGCTAAATGTATACTATTACTTTAAAATATATTATGTCAATTTCTGCTAAATTACATTTTTAGCAAACGTGACTCAATAAAACTTGTACCATTTACAGCAAATACATATATATTTTTTCATTGTCGCAACAGTAATATTATTATAATATAATATCATTAAGTTTATTACAATACTGCATATAATCTGCAAATATCGGATTCACTCATTTATAAATTGTAGGCATTTTGCAAGACTTCCGGGGTCTTCAAGCTGTTTGATCAGCGTAGTAGAAAAATTGTCCAAGTATCACCATCGCAAGTAAAAGATGTCAATCATTTGTCTTAGGCTTAAGGTTGAGAACAATAACTCAGTTGAAACAGCCAAACAGCTCAAAAACCGAAGAAGCTAAAACTGATTCAATACAAAAAGCTTAAAATAGAAATTATATCTAGAATGTATCCATTAGATAAAAAAAACTTGTGAAAATTACATCTCTTAGCAATAAGTAAAACAAAACCTAACACGAAATTGTTACCAAAGAAATGTTTATTTGAACCTGAAACTTTGTGTAACCATGTAGCAGTGGTGTGGGCTTAGTCTCTTTACTCTTCTAAACGTTAGTACTATTGTCTCGGTAAAAAACAAGACTCATTATTTTTGTAAATGTTTCTTTCCATAGTATTCTAAGAGATAAATGTGATATTATTAGTTTTTACTAGTATAAGTGTTAATACTAAGTACAAGTTGTTTATTAAAAAGGGTTTTGGCAAAAGCAGACAAATACTGTCTATAGTTTATGCTAGTAGTACACATTTAAATAAAACACTATAACGGTTTAAAACGCGATATATTAGTTAAACTTATTTAAAAATGACTTTCAACTTCGGCCCGACGTTTCGGATGCTTTGCAGCAGCCGTGGTCACGGGGAGAACACGGCTGCTGCAAAGCATATATCGCGTTTTAAACCATTAAAGTGTTTTGTTTAAAAGCAGACAACTTAACAATCAGGTTTTTTTAGAATTCAATTACTCACTTCTTCTGGTTTATAAGTTAAAAAAGCGTAAAATATCTCTATTATTTTCTAAATACTCATATTATCTAAGTATATGCAAATTGTACTTGTATTAAACATAATAATTGACTATAATGTTTGTAGATGTGTAATTTTATCATTATTTACAATTTTAAAATGTATATCTGCAGATAATTGTTGTGCCAAGCTCTATAAAACTTTTAGAATGTTTTCATTTACAAAAATTGTACTTATTCTAGATATTATATTTTATGGAACATCGTCAATGTTATAAGTTAAGAATACGTAATAAAAAGAAATAAATGTTGTTGTTCTTGGTTATAGATGATGTAAGATGTGTTTTTACAATAAATTGAAAATATCTGTTGACATACCTTTTATTGTACTATCTAAACTAAATGATACTAATTAAAATGTACAAAATTAGTCGCAAGTCCCCTGCTGACCATATAAACAGTAGATCTGGAAAGACAAAATGCAACATTTTATAATGTGTACAATTGAGTTGGATAACCTAGCATCTTCAGCAACAGACAAACTGTGAACCTTAGCAGCTTGTGTGGACTGAGCCAGCTTTCTATTGATGTTGTCAATACAAAATAATAATAAACTGTACTTATTTGCATTCAAATTGGCAGAATACAATTTTTAAATTTTAATATATATATATATAATCAGTTTTAGTTACCTTTTTACTCCTTGGAGCATATTTTGTCTTGACTTTGGACAAATGGCGTTCTAGCATTTAGAAAATTAACTTTATTTTTAATAGCTTTAACTTTTTCTTGGTTGTTTAAATTTCTCTTTATTAAATCCGTCACTTCCATATCTTTTTTTGTTAGTTCCCACACTTTTTCAACAGAGGACAACTCCTTGTCTTCTGCGGTCAGTCTGACTTCCATCAAAGCTCCTCTAACTATACTCTTCCTAAGATTACTTACTTCCTCTTTTAGTGCGTTATACTCATCCTCAGATACTTGCTCTATTTGTTCTTCGTCTTCTGGTAATAGTGTATTTGGTGGTATTAGTAACGTTCTATCAATTTCAGTGTCAACAACGTCCAGAGAAGGGCCAGCTCTCTCACAATATAACCGTATAAGCTTATCACGGGAATGAGCCAGTGACGCTCTATCGGTTTCATTTAATCCCAATGATGTTTGTAGATCGGATATGCCTTTAGTAACACAGTTTCTAATCTTTTCTTCCACCATTTGTCGTACTGAAATTTTCAAACGTTGCGGACCGAACCCAAAGTGTTGGGTTGAATACTCCTCGTCAGTCCCTCCAGTCCAAGGCGGTATTCGAATCATAATATAGCTTCCTCTTTAAACAAATAAACGGTGTTAAATTTATACCATTACAAAGCACAAGAGCTTCGCAAAGACTAATTACGGTTATGTTGTTTAATATACAATGAAATGCTTATATTAACAAAACCTGGGACTTTAAAAGAAAAATTTAAGTAGCTTTACCAACAGTCAACAATTCAAATTTTAAACTTCCCTGTTTATAAACTTTAAAACAATGTCAAAACCAAAACTTCAGACCACAGATTCACACTTCACAATAGTCAATAATGTATAATTTAATCTGTGGTTTGACGTGACGTGTGGTTTGACGCGCCGTTGGAAGCGTAGGCAATAGACTATATAGAAGGACGCGATGGCAGCAGCTATCGATACTACTATTATCGATGTTACCATCGATCAATAAAAAAAATCTTGTATCCAGTAGTTTCAAATTCGTACTTCTCGTCTATTTAAACAATGTGAATAATGTGTGAAAATATTCCCATCATAAATAATATGCATAAAATATGAAAACTCAAATACTACAATCATAATTTATAATAGTAAGTAAGTACCTAGTAAAAATTGTTAAATGTATATGTACCAATTTATAAAAAAAATAAAATAAACTTCTAGTATTTATTTGAATATAACATTTTTGTCAGTTACATACATTAATTTACCGTTTGAATCGAGCTCATCTCCGTCCGCTTTTGTTCTAGTGATGCCAACTTTTGGATTTCCCCCTTTTAGAGTAAAACGAAGTTTTTCCATGGGTTTTAATTGGACCATTTATTTAGGTGGCTCCGAAAGTAATTAATGTAAAGTAAATAATTATTATGACAAAAGAACTTAGTTTAATGACTGTTAATGTTTTTTGGTTACTAATGAATGTAGGTAAAAATGTATATTGCACCCAATTAAGTAATATATTCCTGAACTACTTAAATATACTATTTTTTTTAAGAGTTTTAAATATTTAGAATAATTTGAAACTGGTTTTAGGGAGAACATTCTGTAGGAGTTGGCATCACTGATGTCTTCACTTCGCTTTTACTTGCTCGGTGGCTTTTAGACTTTTAGTACCATTACATATCGCGGAACGAGCCGTTGTGTTGTTGTTCCCTTACAATAACAAAGCAAATTCGACTTTATTCAATTATAAATATATTTCTTATAAGAAACTGTTTAATATGTTTTAGTGGACGCAACTTTCAATCGTATTTTAGTCATTATCTCTGTGATTGTTTTTCTGAATTCGATTCGCGCCGCGTGTGTGACTAGTGTTTACAAAGTTTGCATTGTTTGATATCGTGCTCAGTGTGGTTTTTGTGTTTCACCCTGAACCTGTGCCGAGAGAGCCACAACTTGTTACTATTTTCAGGTAAGGATATTGTTAATAATTAATTTAAATATATCTGTTTTATTGAAGCAATTTGTTAGCTTTTTAATGTTTCTTTTTACCCATCAACTTTAAGTACTTTTCAAAATTATATTGTTCCATATTTCATTAACTGGTTCTGATGCAAGTTTAACTCGGACATTCTGTATTTTCTTACTGCAATTTATATGTAATATATAAGTCAGTAGCTATATGTAATATATATTGCAATTGCAATTACTACAAAGTTAATAGCGATGAGGTAATGAAGATAATTACCGCACTTGTCGAGTCATCAGGATGTTTTTCTTATCTAATATCGAAATAAAAAATAATTTGTTGAAAACATTATGTGATATTCAAAAAATGGGCTTAATGGGTGGTATGGAGTATGGAAATTCACATGGTCCACAGATGAGAAAGCCGAAAAGAAGTTAAGTTTAATCGCGCTTCGGTTTCAGCCTGTGGATTTCCGAATATCCAACGTCTAATTCGTTCAAGAGCCCATCATGTTTAGATGTTATATGGATCCTCATTTCATTCATTCACGTTCCATCATCAAAGTTTAACCATATAATTAAATATACAATTTTCGTAACTTAGATTCTCTTGATATTACTTAACACGTGAACAACAAATTAATAAAATCAAAAATAAAGAAAGATAAACGTCGTAAAAGGTACGTAAGGTAAGTGAACGGTATATATATTAATTTAATTATACAAAGATTATGTCACGTATTATACGCAATTGTTAATATTAGGTGTTGCAACATTTAATTTTTATTTTATACTTACTTTAAGGAAAGGTAATTGATAACATAACATAGAGACGACGGTTACTTTTGAAGCATTATTTTCTAGATCATTTTATATAACTTTATTAATTATAGATAAATTACAATGGGTCCATAGATACGTATACATCTTCCAATATTTACGCTCTATACTGTAATCATCCAGACTATTGTTTGTGTCTGTTTTAATTGATTTTATTTACACACTTAGAGAAGTATTGTCTTCAGTTTACGCAAGTAGTACACGTTTATTTAAAATACTGTTTACGATTTAAAACGCGTAATATATTAGTTAACTTATTTACAATTTATTTTACAAAGGTGCGACGTGCCTAATGTTTTGAAGCAACCGTGGTCATGGGACTACGAGTACAAATCGTTTTTTTTTTCATTTTTTTGTTTCTTTATCCATTTTGTACATATAGTCGCCGGACAGCATTGTTATTTATATGTATGTATATTATATAAAAAAAAAAATTTAAGCTTAAAACGCGAAATTCACACGCAACATTTCTCGTTTCAAACTGTTAAAAATGTTTTATTTAAAAACCTATAGATCGCCTCACACTTACCACGGAAACTGAAAAAGTAAAATTTTTCAACGCGGTAGGATTCGAGCCCAGACCACTAGTAATTAAGTCAATGCGCAATTAATCATTGAGGCACTACTCATTACTTAAGACCACCCAATTAGAATATGCGCTCCTTAAGTTTCCATGTTTGTTCGCGGAGCATTATTATGGGAGCTGTATGTTATTTTAGGTCGAGGAATGTCAACAAGTGATTCACAAGCTAGGCTTGTTGGCAATGCTGGTTCCTTTATGATAGAGACAATATAACGTGCAATATTCGCGTAAACCACGTTTAACATGAAACATAAATGTCTGTAACATCACGAATGGTGAGAATGCTATTAGATAGAGACTCTAATTACGAATAATTTTCCCATTTATGTTGCCTAATTTAAGTTGTTATATATATATATATATATATATAAAATATATATAATCCTGATGTTAACGTGTTTAAACAATATGTTCAGCTTTATTATTTTATATAGATTTATTATGGCACGTGATACAGTTGGTATACTCATACTATTCCATACATTATGTATTTGTTATATATTTTAACTTATTTGTAAATCAAATTAGAGACTCTCAGTAGCAACAACCGGGCATTTAACACTCTAATTAGAGCGACGTTATACATGTTATGTAGACGTCGTTTCGTAAAATTTAAATAACTATTGTAAATGTACATACAAAACAGACGTTTTGAATATTTACAATTCTACGTTTATTTGATAATGTTCGTGGGTTCGAGTACTACTAGTCGTAGCGTCATTCCACAAACGAAATCTATCTTTCTTCTTTGGACCCCTCTATCATTTAAGAATTTAAAAATTTCGCAATCACTATTTTGAACACCTAAAATACTGTAAGGAAGTATGTAGTCTAGATAATGCGGAGAAATAGTAGAAAATATGGCAAAAAGATGAAAAAAATTATGAAATACCGGGAATATAATTTACCTTTGTGGGGTTCCGTGGCGTGCGCTGTAAAAACGGTTTAAGGAACCAAAAAACATGTAATAAAGATTTATTTCTCTTCAATTCGATTTTAAAACTGTCCGTGACATTAAATGTCTATTTTTAAGACGAAGGATTATTAAATTTGGTCGAAAATAATAAATATTATAATAAATAAAAAATAATACCAATACTTATTTAGAGTTGTATTATATAATTTTGTTGTAATATTGAGATGATCCTGGGAAGGATCAGAAATAAACTAGATTATACCTTCATTCCCTTTCATAGGCAGAAAAAAACAGTGATTTTTGTAATTTTTAAAAACATAAACTGTTTCATTAGTGCAGCTCAAACAATTGTTTGCCATCCAATTTGACAGCCATCAAATTATATTTCTTGACTTGTTAAAAATCAGTGTACAGTCATACATAAGCGTCTGTGTTTATCAAAGCTAGCATAATAATGACGTCGATATTGAATGCAGTATCGATACTATTGATAATAATCATTTTGCTGATTTTGCCCGTAGCCCGTCAAGGTTATATAAGGCTGTGGTCTCCCACGAATACTGTCATACTATGCTTGTCCTCGTTTGTGTTAAAAAAAAAACTAGGAACCTGTAATATTTATTTTATTATAAATAATAGCAAGCAAACATTTTATGGTTTTACCGAAAACACTAAAACTAGCTATGCCAGCGACTTCGTCCGCGAAAATCGTTATTTTGGGTATCCAAATTGGTTATTGCAAACCCCTTTATCTTTATAAATTTAAGCTGTTACCTACGTCGGTCGCGCCCCTTCCCGTCGTTCTTGCAAGTTAATCTTAAAAGATAGACATATAGCGTCGCGGACTCTTTTTAGATCATTTAAAGAGAATTATTTTTTTTACGTCTAACCAATACAATCGAATAGTAAGTATCTTAGGCTTTACGTTGTATCTCGTAAACGCGTACTAGTTTTTTCCCAAACTATCACTCTACCACTCGATTAAATTAAAATACCTACGTGCAAAATGAGATATATTACATCATACAAAACAAATGAGTGTCTAGCTATATTATGATTGGACCTTATCTAGTTGTAAGAGTATGATCAGGTGTTTGGAGTATTGAGTTTTTTGTTATGACTTCATTACTATAGATACTTTTGCGCATTATCTTAAACAGCAGTAGGTAGTCATTAAGGAAATTGAAAACTAATAGGGAAAATGATAAAGTTTTTGCGTGTGAAATAAACATTTTTATTAATTGATATAACTTGCAGAAAATAAACAATAGTAGGTACTTATATAAATACTAGCTGTGCCAC